CTTCCCACGACTCACCAATGTCTGGACACAAGAAATCCCGAGCAAACTTGAAATCCTCGCTCATCAAGAGTTTGCATGAATGCGCAATCCAGTCATAGCCAGAAAGGCTTATGCTCCTCACAAGGTATCCGTGCAGCTGCCCGATCCGTTTTCCAGGTCCAGAGGTCTTGGTCCGGGAAAGAACAAATTTCATTCCAAGCTGTGACAGCGTAACACTCGAAGGATCGATCCCCTGTATATCGTCACATCGCAGCGTTCCCCAACACATAAGCAAGAAAATGAAGCATCCGAACCGCAGCCCAGGGGGTGTCCCGACCTTCACCAGCAGAATCTCAGCCGAGAGCACCATTGCCACCGTAACGAGCTCCGCCTGCTTGACCGGCTCGGCACCTGTCTCCAATTGCATCGTCCATGCCTTCACAGACTCCACAAGTAAAGGATCCTCCGACAGCCTATCTGCTGAAGGCCTCTGCCCAACCAGCTCCAGCAAACCGAGGCTTGACAAGATACTCTGCGGAACAGTCTGATCTGATGCCTCTCATCAAAGTACTGCAGCAACAGCGATGCGTCTCCTGGCCAAGGTTTCCCAGTCGCCTGAATCATCCACTCGCGCACCGGCTCCCACGTGCGAGCCCGATTCTTCAAGGTCTTGCCCGCCTGCTACCGAAAGCCCGTAGCCAGGCCGATTCCGCGTCAGCCAGCGACCCAATTCTCTCAGATGCTGGCAGATCCGCCTCCTGGATGTAGCCCGCGAGCTTGAGACCCCAGCGGCGCCTGCACAAGTCCTCTGCTTCCACACGCGCCCCTGTTCCAGCTTTGCGAAGCTTTAACTTCTTCTCAAGAGCAGCCAAACCCAGCACAGGGTCAGAAGCCAAAAGCCCCTCATACAAATCGGCAGCCGTCACACTGGGCCCACGACGGATATAAGGCCCACGTCGGACATTCTGCCCGATCTCGCGAACAGTCCTTTCCACTGTCCCTTGATGAAGCGCGCACCACTTATGCACTGACTCTGTAAGCGCCACACGATCCTCAATCTTAAGAACATCACTCATCGAATCATCCACGATTGCCTGTACATCCTCAAGCGTAGCTGCAGCCAAGCAAAAGTTTCCAATATGCAAGAAGACCTTCGAAACACGCTCGCAGAAAACAGGGTTGATTTCTCGAAGCTGCTGCCACTCCGAGCCCATTGCCGGTATTCACTCATGGTGAGCCATAGCGCCGGAGGTCCCCTACGCCCACCCACTCACAAAAGAACTTGAGTCGTAACTTTGCCGTGCAAGGATCTCATTCACACTGTACAGTGATCAAGCACTCAATCTAAAATCAAGCCGAGGTAAAATCAAGCTCAAGTGAAATCGTCAATCACATGTCCGCAAGGATTCAAGCGTTCAGAGTCGTACTGTTTTTCCCCCCCACCCCCCCTCAAGGCTCTCGAACACACTTTTGGTAGGACCCAAGCAGCATTGCCAGAAGGAATAAGGAAAGTCCGTACGATTCGACGATTTTCTCCATCATTGCAATGGAACTCAGATCCAGTCAAGAATCTTCAGGCATTGCCATGGAAGCCACGAGTTGCAGAAGATGATTCTACTGATTTCATCTATCCGGAAGCATTGAGCATTTTGCAGAAGAGTCGTGGTTCTACCACAAAGGTGAAAGAGATTGAACCGGCTACAGAGCCAACGGTGATTGAAGATCCGCCAGAGGAATCAGACACCCTGATTGATCAGTCAACCATATTGTTTGATCCGAATGAGCTGTCCTCAGAGCAACGAGAGGCGATTGAGTTGCAAGAGCAGCCTCCTCATGAAACTGAGGTTTCAGAGCCGGAATTGCCTTTCTCACCAGGCATTCGTCGATCAGGTGACCAGATTGAGGAACCGCAAGCAAAGTCCTCAAGGATTGATCCTGACACTGAGGTTAGGTCCTCACCATCTAAGGTTCAGAGGATTTCGGCATTGCGCTCAGTGACATTTCATGCCGCTTCAGCAGTTCAGTACATTGCTGGTATCATTGGAGCGACTGATGTTGTCATGAAGGACGGAATTGCCGTTCCCGTTCACGTGAACATGGACCATGATGAACTATACCAAGAAATCAGATTGTCAGAACCAGTCATCTGGGATACGACCAGAGAATTCCCAGCGGAACCCCAACGCATTGGAATGAACAAAGAGATGCAGTCTATGAAAGATTTCAATGTCTACACTGAAGTCCCTATTGACAAATGCTCTCTGTCTGATGTTGACAGTGCGATTGGTGTTCGATGGGTGAAGAGATGGAAAACTGACACTGAATTGAGAATGAGATTGGTTGTTCAAGGTTGCTTCCAAGATTCATCGAAGATTGACACTGACTCTATTTATGCAAGTACTCCGTCGCTTGTGACATTGCGTTTGTTGCTTTTGATGTCATTGGCTCGATCGTGGGAGATCAGTCTTGTTGACATTTCAACAGCATTTCTTCATGCTTTCATTGAGGATTCTGTCTATGTGTGGCCCCCTTCGGAATATTATCCGAATTCCGATTGCTTGTGGAAATTGAACCGTGCTATGTACGGATTGCGACAGTCACCCAAATTGTGGCAAGACCATTTCGCCAGTGTGATGGTCAAATTGGGTTTCCGTCGTTGCAAATCTGACAGCAACTTGTATTGCCACAAGTCTAGAAACTTGTATGTATTGGCCTACGTAGATGATCTCCTCATTGTGGGTGACCCAAAGCTGAAGAAGGAATTCATTGACGCCTTGAGCAAAGAACTTCTTATGAAGATTACGGGAGAATTGAAACCGAACACTGAACACAGCTTTCTTGGCAGGAAATTGAGACACAACGGAGATTCCATTGATGTTCTCATGCCGAGACAGTACGTTGAAGATCTTCTGGAATTGTACTCGATGAACAAATCGAATCCAGTGAATACTACAGGTTCAGCCTCATTGAAGCGTATTGAGGACGCTGATTGCGCGTTGGACGCTAAGGCGCATTCGCTCTTCAGGACAGCCGTAGGCAAATTGCTGTGGCTAGCATTTGTCAGGCCCGACTGCTCGTACGCAGTGAAAGAATTGTCGAGAGATGTTAAGTCCCCGACAATTGAGAGTCTAGCCAAACTGAAGCACTTATTGAGGTATCTCACTGGTACTCGAGATTACGTATTGCGCATCAAGCCTACACACATGTTGTCTGATTGGACCTCTTCGATTGATAATGATTGCTACGTCGACAGTGATTGGGCAGGCTGCAGTAAGACCAGGAAGTCTACGAGTGGCAGCACTGCACAGGTATTGGGCTCGGACATGATTCACACCAGCCGAACTCAAGCGACTGTAGCATTGTCGTCAGGCGAAGCTGAACTGTATGCTATTGGACAGGGCACGAGCGAGGCATTGTTCTTGAAGTCATTGATTCTCGAGGCAGAATTTGCAAAACGTGTCAACATGGTAGTGTACACAGATTCTACAGCAGGACGATCTATTGCAACAAGATTCGGAGCAGGTAAAAAGACCAAGCATGTCGAATTGAGATACTTGTACATGCAAGATCTCGTTCGATCAGGCATATTGAGCATACGTAAAGTGAACACCAAACTCAACCCCGCTGACATATTGACCAAGTATTCCCCGACTGAGGTTCTCAGGAACCTTACACACAAATTAGGCATTGTGAACATTGCCGACGAGTTTCACATAGACCCCTAAACCAAACAAAAATTGTTTCACATTGCATGTTAGGTTTCATTTGAGGAACCGACTGTCTTGACAGAAGTGCGTTGAGATTGCGTCTCCGCCTTACCAAAAGAAAGAAGAGAGAAAGAAGTGATAAAGAAGAGAGAAAGAGAGATTGAGAGTTTGACATGTCAGTGCTCCGCACTCGCATTGATTGATTGAGATTTTCCGATTTTCTCCAGCGTTAAAGGCATCGCCACCGCCGATTGTGCCGGCCAACAGGGCAGTTGGAGCACAGTCAAAATTGCATGAAACGATTTGTCCAAAGTTGTACATAGCTGCTATAGCTGATGAGATTGAAGCCTAAAACAGTACATTGCAGAAATTGCATCGTTGTTTCTCTGGTCTCCTTGCAGTTTAAAGTATCCTCAGATACACAAACGAATCGAATATGTATAAAGATATATGGAGAAATTTTTCAATCTCCAATCACAGGAATAATAGTCCAGCAATCCTTATCGTATTGCAAACAGAATGGCTTCACTCGGACAGGGCTTCTTTTTCGCACTCCGTTGCAACGGGGGTCTGTTACCGGGTTGATGGCGAGAGCGGGCGAGCACAACCCGTTTAGAGCAAGGCGAAAGCAGCCAAACTGAGCACGGCTAAAGCAGCCGAACAGAGCAGCCATCTTCCCCAGTCTCTCAAAAACCGTATTGAAACTATGTCGGGCGGGTGGGTGGTTGAAAAATTTCCGGAAATCTCAGCCTTGAACACACCGCCGGATGACATGATTCAAAATCGCACAAGATCAACCGAAGCATCATGCTGGAAATCGTGATGCGAAAAACAGCATCGAACCACATGAAAATCGGAATCTGTTGTAAAATCGCAACAAGCTAAAACTGTGGTTTAAACAATGTTGTTTGAAAACTGCAAGTGCGCTTCGCCTTTGGCTTCGCTAGACCAGGATAAACATAACTGCGCTTCGCTCCGTAGGTCGTTTCTCTGGTCTCCTTGCAGTTTAAAGTATCCTCAGATACACAAACGAATCGAATATGTATAAAGATATATGGAGAAATTTTTCAATCTCCAATCACAGGAATAATAGTCCAGCAATCCTTATCGTATTGCAAACAGAATGGCTTCACTCGGACAGGGCTTCTTTTTTTCACTTCGTTGCAACGGGGGTCTGTTACCGGGTTGATGGCGAGAGCGGGCGAGCACAACCCGTTTAGAGCAAGGCGAAAGCAGCCAAACTGAGCACGGCTAAAGCAGCCGAACAGAGCAGCCATCTTCCCCCGGCCCCGCGATCAGAGGATGCATCGATGATCACTGCAGCACTTCCTGTGCCCAATCAGCTTCCAGCCTAGCCGATGTAAGAATTGCCTGAGCCAGCTTAGGCTCGTAGTGGGGAGCACGAACGAAGTCCATCATCGTATCAGTGGCTGCCACATCACCTTTGTTTATGGCCCGAAAGCGCTCACAAGCCTCTGCAAACTGCCCCCGCGATGGGAGGTCCGCCGGGTTACTCTTAGAGGGGACCCGCTCGAACCAGAGAAGCGCCTCCATGGAACTCTCCATCAAAGCCACCAAGGAGATGAGGCGCATCATGGAAGCCGAGGGGGAGTATCGCTTTACGAAACCATAAAGGCAGGCGTTGTTGTCAATCCATGCCAAGACTGAGCGACCTTTCAGCACTCCGCGAATCCCGAACAAGGTTATTGCCAGAGCATAGGCCTCAACCTGACAAATCACTTGGGCCCCAGCTTCCTTGCCCCAGTGACCCATTAGCGGCTGGCAGACTTCCCCCCCGAAGACCCATCGGGAGCCCGTGTAAGCATCTACAAGAACCGCGCCCCAGGCACCTCGCCCCTTCTCGAAGGCTCCATCAGTGTAGAGCACAATCGGCGGCAGAATTGTAGCTGGGCAGCGCTTTGGCCTGCACTGCGCAATGACATCCAGAGCCAACGCACAAGCCAGTCGAAGTTCGAGTGTACTTCCTTGGAAAGGCCCCGACAAGGCCCGGGACAGCATTCGCGACGTTGGCTTCAGCTCGAAGCCCATAATCAGTCCACCCGCGAAGTTGATCAAGCCGTGCAGCGAGGCCACATCAGATCTCGTCACAGCTCCGCCCTGGGCGACTGTTCGGAGGAGCTCCGCAATCTTTTCAAGACGTCCCGCTTTGTTCTCGACCTTGAGAGTGCCTCCCCATATCTCGTCAAGGCCCAAAGAAACACCCAAGGAGACCACCTTGTTGTCAAACGGCACAAACTTCCGCCCAGACTTCGCGTAGGTCCACCCTAGCAGGTCCAGCAGCCTCATCAGGACTTTGTCCAGCAGGAATGCAGCTGGGCGAAATTCATATACAGTGTAGTCGTCGTAAAAGTCGGTCGCGATTGCAGCGAACTTGACAACCATGATGTGAAGAATCGCAAGTGCTGCTTTGTTGAACCCATACACGCTTGCAGCAGCTCCAAAAGGCAGGCTCTGGGCTATGTAAAATTCCCACTTGCCTTGTGGGTCGGGGAAGCCAAGAACAGCGTGCTCCCTCGTGGAAGGATGGATGCTCACCTGGCGATAGGCTTTACTCAAGTCCAGCGTCTTGCCGAGCAGAGCGGGCTGGCGGAGCATCTCGGGATCCCAGTTCCCCTCGAGCACGGTGCCATCAGACAAGGGGACCCGGACCTTGGAGCGATCCTGCAGCACACGGGAAAGGAACCTCAGGAGGCCGACCGCGTAATCCGTATCCTGAAGCTCTAGGAAAGACGAGGAACCAAAGGCCCTGTTAACCGCCGACATTTTAAAGTCGTCAATTATCCTTATCTTGGCGTCTTCGCCCTGCCTCAACAGGAAACGAGGCGAGAGCGACCATGCATCGGTCTTCAAGATGTCGCTGACTTCCTGCTCCGAGTGGTATGGACCCGTGAGGAAACCCGCTGCCAGTTCCTCGGAAGTCTCATCTTTCATCGCCTTGTAATCCTGTTCGGAAACAAGTCCTTTCATCTTCTGCAATGCGCGCCGCCGCAGTAGGGCCTGGGCTTTAAGCTGATCTGGCTCAAGGTCCATGGGCTTCGGCCGCTTTGCAAACAAAGGGGACTCAGCTTCCTGACCAACTAAGGGCACACCGTCGGTAAGAAGGTCGACCACTGACATGTCGGGAAAACCTGTTTCCTCAAGAAGCTCGCGAAACAAAGCTAGGGCCATGCATTTTGGCTCGAAGCTCTTTCTCAGTGGCAGACAGCACCGCCATCCGGTCATTCAATTTTTTCAGTTCAAGCATCCGCCGCTTTGACACAGCCACTGGGCCTTCCGTGAGCATGGCAAAAATGTTGCGGCAAACAGCATCGGGCAAACGAGCACTGTTGTCAGCTGGGCAGGTTAGCCCACATGCGCGATGCAGGTGCTCCTCCATGGAGAAATACACACCTGCCAGATCTCCGGCTCTACCATCTCCTTGCATCCGGACCCTCTTAGAAGGATTGGGCTCATCATTATCCCCCGGCTCATCATTGTCCCCCGCACTAGAGCCGCGGCCTTTGGAGAGTATTTTGTAATCAGCTCCACTCGGTACTTGGGACAGAGGAACCCTAACCCGAAACTCAGGGATTAAGGGAGGCATGTAGGTGGGTTGGTTGGCCGCTGCCGCTCGCACCTGAGCTCGAAGTCGGCGGCTATGCAGGAGGTCGACTCTTTGGGCCTGGAGACCTCGGCAGACTGCTGTGGCGGAGCGACACAGGGTCCGGCACAGCTCAGCAGGCAGCGAGGCATCACTGAAACCCGTTCCTGCAGAAGGGGGAATCCAAGGCATGTGTTTATGGGACTTATCACAGGGACGGCCAAGGTTTGGGAAAGATGAAGAGTCGGCTCGGGTGCGCAGCGATGTCAAGAATGGGGCACCGAACATGCAAGTATCAAGCTCCTGATCGGCCAAAGCGAAGAACCATTGCAGAAAGTCCTGATGCTGCCTCTGCTTGACAAAGTGGGCTAAGAGGCTCCAAACCCAACTCCGGGCCGGCCCGATCAAGCTGACCAGGGCCCGAGTCTCATAAGCTCGGAACAGCAGGTCGACCACGGCTTGCAGTAAACTGTTTTCATGCTGCACCAGCGAATCGGCGCGGGCAGGAAGGCCGTCGCGCCCTAGCAAGTGAGAGGCGTCACGAAGGCTCGCACGTCCTCGAGAATCACGCCCCTGATTGCAAGATTTCATGAACAGATTGAAATGCCAGCAGTCGACAAGTGTATGGCGATCAAAGTCAAGCAATGCTTTCAGATCATCTTTCGCGGAGAGGTCAATCGGCACTCGGGGACAGCACTCAGGGGTACCACGTTTGTGGCCCAATGGCAAGGCATCCCAACCAGCCTGCAGGGCGGCGGCCGATAAAGATCCCGAGACAGCGAGGCAATCGGCCAGCATGGGCGGACGAGGGACCGAAGAGGGGCCCTGATTCGACAGGGGGTTGCAGCCCTCAACGGTCCCGAACGAGGCGGAAGCGGCACTTCGCTGATGTGCACGGGGATCCGGACAAGGCGGTGATTTGGGATCGCCGGGATCCGATGAAACCTGGTCGGATTCCGAAGACTCGGACGAGGGAAATGATTTTTGCTCGGAGGCAGGCGGAGCTGGCTCTTTCAGGGGGAGAATCCGACGCATCTGATCAGTCACTGGAAGCTGTCGTGATGAGCAGACCTCAGTTGAAGCCAACTGCGAAGCATTGGGCAACGGGAAGCCCAAATCAAGCAAGACATGTTTGTCGGCTCCGGAGATTCGCTCTCCGGCCTGCAAAGCAAAAAGCACCAAAACAACTCGGCGCCCGGTGGCTGGCAGAGTGCAATGCTCATACCCTCGCGCACAAAATTTAATGGGCCCGCGAGACACTTCCAAGTCCACAGTCTGGCCTGGCTCGCTTACCCTGACAGCTCCCCCTTGGAAAACGGTCAAAGGAATGACATAATTCGGAGAAAAGGAATTCTGACTGTCTCGGTGTGGTCGAGTGCGTACCTGATCAAAAATGGCAAAACTGGTGTAAACGGCACCATCAAGCAAAGAGGCTACAAACCTGTTCACCACGCGCACCGTTTGTGGAAAAAGCCTACAAGATTTGCGAAGGCTCACCTTAACTCGAGAGTACATCCCTGCCGAAAATGAGCGCCCTTCGGCGTCTCGGTCGCACTGCTCATGCGGCAAGGCATCAAAAAGCCTCATCACTTGGTCAGCGGTAACAGGTGTGCTCTGAGCTAAGATTTGCCTGGCGAAAACCTCGGGCGAGGGCGAGGCTAGTCAATGCTTGCACTCACTGTAGGGCCTTTCTGCCCCGCACCCCCTGAAGTTGCACACATGCTTTCCGAAGCGGCACGACTTGCGCTTCTGGAAGCGACAGATCCCCTTGTTGTAAAATGGGCAGATGAAACGGCCATCATCGTTGGCCCGCACGCAGCCCTCGGGTAACGACTCCAGCAGCTCCTTTAGGGACGGTTGCGAGGAGGCATCAGCTGTGATTCTGCTTCCCTTTGCCGCGGCCTTTGCCCTTGGTACCCTTCTCTCCCTTCTGATTGCCCTTGTCGGGTCCCTTATTCGGCTTCCACGGTAGGGCCTGGTTCTCGGCAGGCTTAGGAAGGTGTGTCAGGCAGGATACCACAAACTGATTGGTTGCAGCAGCGGCTATGTGCTTATCAAGAGGAGCCGGGGCTCCGACTCCGACGACGATGTCACCTCGGCTCTCCTGGGCCACCACCTGCCAAAGCTTCTGGTCAGCTGCGAGCAGCTGCTGAACGGTAGTGTAGCGATAACCCGCCGGAGGCACATCAAGCAGAGCCTGGAACATGCGGTTGTGCCAAGACTCCATTGCAGTGAAGGAGGCGAGCCCCACTTGATCGAACGCTAAGGCCCGGCGCAGGAAGCACCGGCGAAGCTTGAGCTCGCCGGTAGTCTCGCACCGGAGACTCGAGGCTTGCTTCGTGATCTTGATGTTCCCGTCGGCTCCCAAAGAGAGCTTTTGCTCCGTCTTCTCACCCAGGATCTCGTCATGGCGGGAAATGCACTTTTCCGGTGCGATGTGCAGCACTTGTGCAGAATCGAGCATGGCCTGGACGCGGTCCACAAGGCCGTGTCCAGGTTCTGTGTGGATATCCATCTCGAGGCCTTTGAGCTCGCCCCTTTGGCGTTTCAAGCGTGTTAGGCGTTCTGCCAACGGAAGCTCGCGGGGGCTCGTATCACTTGTTCTCGAAGCCCTCGATTCTAAGTCAACCAGGGCGTGGGCGTGGCTCTCGTACCACAATCGCCTGATCACCATATGTTGTTCCACTGGAACCTCACTCCCAATCAGAGTCTTCAGGGCTTCGAAGAGAGGAGTGTCATCCCCGCTGGAAGGCCGAGGTTTGTGACAGCGGATGCAACCTCCTGCGCAAAGAGACACGCAACCACAAAGCAATTCATTGGTCTTGAGACCTTTTGTGAAGATGTAGCCACAATCATCTTCTTATCTAAGCATTGGGAAGAATGGTGTTTGCTTGCAAAAGCTTTAAAAGACCTCGATTTCACGCTCGAACAGACTGAGAGAGCAAACAGAAATTGAAGTAGAGGCGCAACTCGACAGCGAAAAGTGCAGTTCGGACTGTTCTCTTGAGGGAACGCAACAGCCGTTCCAGCAACAGCAAATGCAACCAGAAGCAAGGCAGAGCAAGGAATGTTGCAAATGGGTCTCTGCTAAAAGAGCAAAAAAAATCTGGCGAGAGCCAGGTGAGCCCATGTCGTGCATGAGGGGTTTTGGAGTTAAGCACCGTGCACAAATTCCGAACCGTCAGCCACACCTCTCGATACCATAACTCTACACAGCTCAAGAAGTCCTGTTCAGATCTGGTGGAGATACCTTCCAGAAAATTCCGCCGCTCTTGTATGATCTGTTCCGGCCGACCTTCTCGATACCATAACTCTGCATGGCTTGATCTGCTCTGTTCAGAAATGCTAGAGTCACCTCTGGAAAAATTCCCTGTCTTTGTACGATCTCAAAGCTGCACAGTTATGGGGCTGTCGGGCGACCCCATTTTAAGGCCCGCAAAACACAAGCAATTCTGGCTTCGCCAGGTCGGCCCTCCACAGTTGCACTCCGCTGGCTGCAGCACCATTAAGGGCAAGCAACACAGCTGCTTTGGACAAGTTCCGACCTTCCAAACGGTCCTCCACCAGACGCTCCCCAAAGTCAATACAATCAATGACATGCACAGCTGACGAGATTCAGCCGCTGTGGGTGCAGGAATCAAACTTGCGACCCCAAAAATGGGGCCGTCTCGCGGCCCCAGAAAAGGAGCCGCGAAATGCAGCCAACCTCCTTTAACATATTTTGACTGGCAACTAGAGGACCCCAAAATCGAGGCCGCTTGGCGGCCCCTGTTTTGGGGTCGCGAATTCCTCATGTTGGGGCCCAAGCCCAAGCCCGTGCATTCCACACTGCTACATCAAGGCGGCCCACAGGCAGGCATTCAGTGTGGAAAAATCATTCTCCAAGAACAAAAATTTCCAACAGACAGCTTGCCTGTGGAAGTGATTGACATGAGAGAACAGAGGGAGGCCACTCAAGCGAAGCCAAAATTGCTTAGCTTGTTCGACCCCACAATTGGAGCCGCGTGTGCTGCAGTTGGTCCGCACCCAAAGTGGACATCGGCGGCACTGGTGGCCGAACAGGCGTTCCAGACACAGCAGCTAGAACACTTCCACCTTTGAGCTGCAGGCGGACTTATAAGACAAACAGGATCTAGCTTCTAGGAGAACTCTCAACTGCTACCTTGCACAGGCGAGGCAGTGGCGCTTCACAGAAGTCCGCTACCAAGAAAAACAGAGTGTGCATCTTTCGCTTGACTGAAAACATTCGAAGCAAAACGAAACGAGACAAAACGAGTGCACTCACTAATCTGATTCAAAAGCACTTCTAACATTGAGGCAGACCGAAAAACACCAAAGATCACATGACACTTTTTCCAAACAGAATCCTGCCCGAAAATCAGAAAATACACGGGTCTGTGTTGCGGAGGGGTGGCACGGGTCTGTGTTGCGCGGAGTAGAATTTGCTGATCAACAAAGTCCCTTGAAGCGCCTGTTGCGAGCGATGTTGTCCGTCCGTGCTGATGCGCAAGATCTCCAAAGGCCGAGGTTTGTGACAGCGGATGCAACCTCCTGCGCAAAGAGACACGCAACCACAAAGCAATTCATTGGTCTTGAGACCTTTTGTGAAGATGTAGCCACAATCATCTTCTTATCTAAGCATTGGGAAGAATGGTGTTTGCTTGCAAAAGCTTTAAAAGACCTCGATTTCACGCTCGAACAGACTGAGAGAGCAAAAAGAAATTGAAGTAGAGGCGCAACTCGACAGCGAAAAGTGCAGTTCGGACTGTTCTTTTGAGGGAACGCAACAGCCGTTCCAGCAACAGCAAAT